GGAACACAAATAGAAATTTAAAAATGAAGGTTATGCCCAAGGCATTTTGAACAAGACATTTTGCTTCTCAACCTCAGTGTTTACTTATGCTTAGTCCTGAATGTTCCTGAATTCTAGTATTATTTCCACAGGGCCTAATCTCTATGTACATGGCTTTTACAGGGCCAGATGTTCTATCCTGCATCCTGCTTGAGATGGAACAGATCTCCATTAATAAATGTCCCAGTCCCCTTGATGAGCAGTGGCTCCAGTGGCTGAAGAGGTTCCAAGCTAATGGTCATGGAGACATACCAGACTGAATTAGCTTAAGGTCATCATCTCTCCCAGGCCTTTATTTCTTAAACCAGCATTTCTCACCCTCCAGCCCTTACAACTGGGAATGAGAACCAAATAGAAGACATAAAAAGGTACTCCATACATCCTAGTGCATTTCTCCTTTCATTCAGACCCCCTGAAGAACCCCAGAAGTACCCTCAGATTACTCTGATGGGGTTGGAGGTACTAAGAAGAATAGCATAAGATAATAGAAACCCTCTCACACAACATGGCAGCTCCATTATTTTATCACAGGACTGTGGTGAAGATTGATGAGAATTACGAGTTTAGGCACTGGTTGGCAAGATGAGCAAGGGGAGCCTGCCAGAAATGAGGAGGGGTAACAACGAGGACCAGGAAGCCATTGTCCATCACCCTGGTCCTGCCACAGAGGAGGGAATTCCTGGAGTGAGCTAGAGGTTGGGATGGGAAATGAACTGCTGTAGATTTATAGCTGGTTGAGAAATGACAGAAAAGGGCCACCTCACCTTGTATATAAGAGTTAACGCTGAGATCTTGTACCTTTACATTGACTTAAAATACATTTAAATTTTAATGTTAGAGGAGCCTAACGGCTTTCCTTGAGAATATGGCAGCACACTGTTCTAGTATACCCATGAGCTTCTTTGGTCGTGTTTTCTTTTTAAAACACAGAACAGTCATAATTACTATCTTGCATAACAATAATGCTTCCGACCCCCTCTGAAGAAATCATGCTTTGTTTTTTTTCTCTGATGGTGGAGTCAATGAGGTTCACTCATCCCCTCACCCACCCCTCTGTGAACCACAGCAAACAGGGCTGGCAAAGGCAGGCACACCATAAAGACTACATGCTAACTTAGACTTCCTGGGTACCTCCTAGATGCCTGGCACCAGATCTGCATTGATTCTTTCTTTCTGACAACCTTGTCAGAAAGACATAATACCTTGGTTTTACAGATAAGAAAACTGAGATGTAGAGTGTTTAAGTAAGTTCACTGAAGTCACACAGATGGTAAGAGCTGGAACCAGATTTGAACATGTGAATCATATTAGAGTTGAGGCTCCTTCCAGACAGCATGCTGCTTCTCATAGTGTCTTTGACCAACAGCAAGTATGTTCCGTCTTGTGCCCATGAGACAGAAGAGGCTCTGGACCCTCAGAGTCCTATCGAGGCAAGACCCAACACATTCAGCACCAGGTGGGGGATCAGAGAACCCTCAACTTGGCGAAAGGCATTAGCTCTGCCACTCAGCTCATCTGGCTCCTTTTCACAGTGAGGGGCAGGAGCAGGCAGACTGCACACTGTCACTGCCTGGCTGGCTCCTCTTTCCATGGTCCCTTATTCTCCCAAACAGCTACACGCCTACTTCCCAGGCCAACTATTGGACAAAATGAAGTCATTCACATCAGCACATTTTACCTAAAATGTAAATGCCTGGCACTAACTTGATTGAAACTTGAAACAAAATGGTCTCCAGTACTTTAACATAAGGGAACTTCATGTTCCTGCTCTGCCACATGAGCTCTCTGAGGAATGAATAAATGAACACAAGCATAACCAAAATTGTGGTGAAAATCCAAAGAACTGGACTCTGATAGTTAAAGAAGGCAAAAAAGCGCACACTCTATATACCTGATTGTTTATTGAGAAGTAATTTTAAAATGTGAAGCCTAATTTAAAGAAAAAAATCTCCTAAATAAAATCACCAAAATATTTTTCATCTAATCAGAACTCAATTTAGACTCCTGAAATTTTAACCCATTGTACATTACCTTTACCCTGAAGATGAAACAACTTTTGTCCTTATGACTTTTTCCTTTTACGGCAGCAATAGGTATGGATTATAGAGAGAATCCAAACCACCAAGCACTAAATTTAATTTCTTACTCACAAATGGTATCAGGATATCAAGTGCCTTTACTTATCTACTCTCACTGATGAAATTCCTACTGAATTATCTTACTTTTGAGCTCCGTAGGACCCCTTTTTCACACGCCCTATTTCATAAGTGTCTCTCCCAGAGGACAGTAAGCTGCATGCAAACCACAAATCCATAAACAGAGGGAAATGAATAGGAATTAGTTATCACACATTGTAGAAATCCTGACAGTGAGTGGTGAGTTGCCACCATTTGGAGGAACTAGAGAAAGAGAACCTTCTATTTCAAATAGATCAGTCTGTTTTTGTTTGTTTTTTAAAGTAAATAAGTACTTGGTTCTTGTTATCAGGCATTGGAAAGAAATCTGAAAAATGGTCTTTCTTATCAGAGGAAGGAGATTTAGTATGCACATACATATCACACAACTAAACCCCTGACCACCTCGCAGAGGACAAGCAGGTCAGCCATGTGTCCCCAGGCACACTATAATGGCAGCATCAAGCTAGGATGAGTTGCAGGTACCTTGGGGAAGAACCATGGAGAGGGTTAATATTCTGAATACAAATTAACAGCCTGATAATGCGCAAGACAGTTCATTCAAAGTTTTTCTTAAAGGGTTACATTACCTGTGTTCTGCTAGCTATCATACTACTTGATGAAAAAATGCCACCCAACAGATCCCTAGAGGAGAAGCACATTAGGGTGCAAATACAGTAATGACATGAGAAATGAAAGCGTGTCCAAAAAAAATACTTTAGACACCCGAATTGAAATATGAACATAGCTAGAGAACAATGTCGAATCAACCCAGAAAACTAAATCTGATCTCACATGATTGGTCTACATTGACAAAATTTTCTTCTAGGTGGCCACCCAGTGAGTTATCTCTCTTCTCCCCTGTTGTGCCCCCCTCGCCCCTCCTCCCCAAGAAGAAAAACAAACAAACAGTGCTGATCATTAAAGGAAGCCTCAATGCACTGCAGAGCTAGATGGAAATGGTGAGCGCCACTCTGGGTGTGCACAAAAAATGTATTGATGGGCTGATAAAAACTTGGAATAATCACCCAAAATGTGTTTATTAAGAACTTATGGCTCAGGGTGCTGGTTAGACATTGTACAAAGGGATTTTATTGTTACAGATTGAAGAGTACAAGATAGCACCAAAGACAATTCAGTACATCTGCAGGTTATTTATACACAACTGAGGTTAATTCGATAACTTCACATACCCTGTATTTCACCAATCAATACAAACTCAGAAGGAAAAGGCTCAGTTAACTCAAGATATTATCAGGTAAAGAATGTCATCTCCTGTTAGAAAATCTGAGCTGATTAGCAACAAAGAATCTTTATAAATATACTTGTCTAACTAGATGGGTTTTCTACATCCTCCAGTAGCCTGGATTCATGGAAATGTTCATAAAAATACAATTACCATCTTAGTAGCTGTCTATGAAGATCACTTGCATCACAGTAAACTAGAAATTTATCTTGAGGAAGTTAACTCCATCAGCTCCCCAATTTAATAAACAATATTTAGCAACCAGATTAGACTGAAAATAGGGAATATGTCTTAACCTTGGAGCAGGGCTTTCTCATATTAGAAAAAGACAACCCAGAACCAGAAATATTTTGGCCTAGATTAAATTCTATTGGTTTTATCTTTTCAATACAAACTGACCACCTTGCTCCAAAGCAGATATAGTTAATATATAATCCTTTAAGCTTACTAAAAATAAAAGCAGAATGCTAACAATGGTTAAATGGAAATTTCAATTCATTAGAGAAATTACATTCTTCTAAAATAAGAGCAATCTTATTATTAGCTCCTGCCACAGAAACCAGGCTCCAGGACCAAGAATGTTCCATGACTCATGACTTTATTTGAAAACAAATAGTCAAATCTATCACATTCTGGATCTGCTGTTAAAAATGTGATGTAGAAAAAGCCAAAATGACCTATTACATTATTTAAAAATAGAAATCTCTTCCGGAAAATGCTCTTCTAAGAGCCTAAACAGGCTAACAAGGAGAAGTAAAAATATATGGGAATTGGTGTGCAAGCAAATCTCCCAGGTGGTGCTGTAACACAGATGGCCCTTCCTTCCCCAGCGCCCCTTCTGTGCAGCTGACTCAAGCAGCCGGGCAAAAGGGCTGGCTCAGGGTAAAAGTGGGCAGCAACCCTCCCTCACAGCTCCCATCGTAGAAACAGCGAGCAATCCAACTAAATGGCCAGCAAAGCAGTCATTCCCCAGATGGGATTTTTCAATTTGGTCAATAGTTTTTTTTTGTTTTTTTTGTTTTGTTTGTTTGTTCTTTTACCAAAGAGCTTTATAGACCAAATTGGGCCGAAATGCTAGTTTTCTGTCTCCCCTGCAAAGGGGGGTGGGGGTGGGGGGGGCCTCTACAACTCAATTGCCCAGTCCTGAATTAGGTTGGACTTAAATACGGCAAAGGAAAGATTTTCATATTCCCTTTTGCTCCTGTTCTGGAAACTTCTTCTACTCTACCCAGGGCAGGGAGAGGGAAGAGGACCTATATAGCACCCCTGCTGGCATGATGTGGGCTGTGGCTGAGGAAGCATGAGGTGAGGTGTGAATACACTTCGTTGTCACTTTTTTTTCAGTAAGTGAGAAGTTACTTAAAGGGAACTGCATTCTATAAGTTTGTGCTTTTGGAAAATCTGATTGGTAAATGTTCAGCTTCAAAACTCAAGAGACTACTGAAGAGATAACGGGAAGTTTGCAAGGCAAAGGGTCAGATGGAGGAAGGACTCCTAATGGATCAGGGACAGAGCAGAGCGCTTGGATGCACATGCAGACGTTATGCAGACAGGGCATTCCAGCGGTAAGTGATATAGATCAGCACTATAAAGAGAATATGGACAAGACAGAAGCTTATAAGGTCCCTGGAGCGGAGGGCAGAAGTTGGTTGTGGGGGTTTCTCCCCGAGTGCCAGCAGAGTGTCAACAGTCTTTCGAATGTGACGAAAATCCAACTGCAGGATGTCATACGGAGAGCAGAGGTCAGCCTATTCCGAGGGCAGCCATTAGAACAGAAAGAGACAGTGCATACAATTAAAAATACACAGAAGAACAGCTGGAAAGAAGCATACATTTTTGGTTACTAGCAAATGGCAAGAGAAACCTCTTATTTCAAGCAGGTAAAACCCGTTCCACCATCAAAGATTTTAAAACTTTATTCCAAAAGAAAAGTAGCATACCAAATGCATTTTATGCAAAAGGACGAAGAAATCCTTCACCAGCAATCACACTATTGAGGAATAGACAGTTATGTAATCTACGTATCCTTCTGGGGGTAAACAGGCTTAATATTCAAGTGGCATCATGTGCTCATTAATGGCATAAAAATAAGAGTTTTTCATTTGGGACATTTAAGTCTTAACCTTACTAACAAAAATTATAAACTTTAATCTTCACCTTTCCTCATAGTCCTCTTAATGTATTTTTTAGCCTGGTTTATGAAGAATGAATATAAAGTTTTTCTCTCTGAAAGGTAACACATGCACCTAACCTATTTTCCTTTTAGAATTATTATTATGTTTTATTTACTTATTTATTTTTTTAAATATATTCGTATTGATTTCAGAGAGGAAGGGAGAGGCAGAGAGAGACAGAAACATCAATGATGAGAGAGAATCCTTGATTGGCTGCCTCCTACACACCCTACACTGGGGATGTGCCCGGACCAGGAATCAAACTGTGACTTCCTGGTTCATAAGTTGAAGCTCAATCACCAAGCCACACTGGCTGGGCTCCTTTTGGGATTACTGACAAGTTCTGAGGAATGTTAGCTCTAATTATATCCCTACATGTGTCAAAAAGCATATTAAATTTCATGTTTTTACAACTACACAGAAACCAACAATCTTGAAGAGATTTCTTAGATATGAGGTTCGAATAAAATACATTCCCACATAGGGTTATTATGTAAATTTCTTCACCACTAAACAGGTGTGGGGGCAGGAACAGATCTCCATTCATGTTTTGTCTACTTTACAATCACCATATAAGGAGGCGGAGCTCTTATTTTATTGATTAAATGCAAAAATAAGAAGCTCATTTACTTGAGTTGACCTCCAGATGTCTATTACTGCCAGGAAGCAAACAGTTTTATGATGCACTGAATTCCTGAACCAGAAATGACAATAGCTTAAAATTTATAGTGATTATAATTCATGTCAGTATGAAAAAAGTTGTAGTTTTGTGTCCAGGTTAAACAAGGATAGAAAATATCTGTGATATATTTCATAAATGCAGTAGGCAAAGCGTTTAAAATATATATTTTATATGTATAGTATATATTTTATAACATATTTTGATAATATTGCCCTTTGTTTTAGCCTCATTGCTAAGCAGATGTAAATCACAGAGCAACTAAAAGATAATTTTAAAGTAGAGTTATTTGTCTTAATTGTATCTTCTGAGGTTATCTTGATGCCCTCAGGTAAGGAAGAATACCACAATATCAAGTGGGTTGAATAAGATTAAGAACATTCTCATCTTATTTTACATTATGAAGGTAGAGATACTCAACAAAATTTTTTAAAGATAATAATCATGTTATATCTATCTAGATTGTGTCTTTTCTCAGTAGATTTGGAAGAATCAAGCTGCCACTGTTATTTTCCCAACAATTAAAACATCTACACATAGATTGGATTTCACTGGGAGAGAGATACTAGACAAAGATTAACAGATGGGGAAATATCTAAAAGAAATTTTCTATTGCAATAAAATTTTTCTATTGCAATGTTATGCTTAACCAATGAAATCAGAGCAAAGCAGACATAAGACAAAAGGCATCCATGAACTAAAACGTGATTTTCACAAAAGTGGTATTTCCAGGTTAAAAGCCAAACATTCTATCTCCATTATATATTTCAATAACTTCCCCAAACCCTATGGAAAATGTATGGTCTGCTCCCCAGCAACTTCGTCAGAGAACTCAAGTCAGTTTGCTTTTGCAGTTTTCAGGGCACTTACTGAGCAGCACACTTCACAGGCAGGTGGGCAGCACAGACTATTCTTTTTATCCTGGAAGTAATTTTATGATGCCAGATTCTGGGCTTAATTCACACTAAAGTAGGTAGGACCTAGAATTACAGTCCATGGTGATATAAAAATTTTTTTTAAATATATTGTTGATAATATTACATATATCTCCCATTTTCTCCCCCTTTCCTCCCTTCCATGGTGATTTAAATTAAATCATGATCTCTAAAGGAAAAGGCATGGGTGTAAGATTGTATGGTAGGCAAAATTCTGAGTCACCCTTATGTGTGGCACATGGGCTGCTGTGGCCCTGAGAGCCGCTCTCGGAGTCTATCAGACAACACAACCCTCTGCAAGGACACCACAATGGGAACGAGGGCTGCGGCTGCTAGGGGAACCTGGGAGTTTTCTGACTCTTGTGCTTCCCAAATCTCAGTCTTAATGAGAGGAATTTAACCATTATACTTTTTTCCTCCTTAAAACTGCAATAGAAAAATACTAAAAAGGAAAGAAATTTAAAGAGGCAAAATTTCACCATGCATTTACAAAGCATCAGTAATTACCGCAAGGCATTTGAAAAACACAGTAACTGTTCCTGGAGGCAAATGCAGCAGCTAATTCTCATTATAGTGAACAAGAAATCATAATCACCAGAGGAGTATTGGATGGATTCTCTTAGAGCAGCGGTTCTCAACCTGTGGGTCTTGACCCTTTTGGGGGTTGAACGACCCTTTCACAGGGGTCGCCTAAGACCATTGGAAAACACATATATAATTACATATTGTTTTTGTGATTAATCACTATGCTTTAATTATGTTCAATTTGTAACAATGAAAATACATCCTGCATATCAGATATTTACATTACGATTCATAACAGTAGCAAAATTACAGTTATGAAGTAGCAACGAAAATAATTTTATGGTTGGGGGTCACCACAACATGAGGAACTGTATTAAAGGGTCACGGCATTAGGAAGGTTGAGAACCACTGTCTTAGAGGCAATAGTCAGTAGTATGTGATTAAGATTACTATTCAAGATGGGCTCAGGCGCTGGGGGGTATGGCTCAGTTGGTTGGGCATCCTCCTGTGCACTGAAGGGTCGCAGGGTTCAGGTTTGTTGTGTGCAGGAGGCAGCTAATCAATGTTTCATTCTCTTAAAGATGTTTCTCTCTCTCCCTCTCCCTTCCTCTCTCTCTAAAAATCAATAATTTAAAAAATTGGCTCTGGACAATACTACAGACACAAGCAGAAATGTAGACAGGTCTGGCAAAAGTCTAGGTTATAGATGTTCTGAGTAAAATTTGGTCTAAATTCTAAGAAATTTAGAATAAATTCAACTCATTTAAATATTTTAATTTTTAAAGTCAGCATGCTTACAAAGGATTTATTTTTAGTCTAAAATATCATAGTACAGAATGTTAATGGTCATTCTGAAAATTTGAAGCTCTAATTAACAGTGTAATGTGTCAGAGAGTTGAGTGGGGTAGGAAAGGGTTTCTAGAGTTTTCTCCAAATATATGAGAACTAATTGCTGATTTTATGAACTTGGAAGATAGCTCTAATATTGGTAAGCTAATTAATCTAGAAATGTAATTTAAAACTTTTTGAAGATACTGCTCATATTCACAACTGTGTACATATGAAAGGCTGTCAGACCACTAAACCAAGGTAACTGCCATCAGGAAACACAGAGTAGAAAAGGATCTTCATGAATGGTAAACACATACTAGCTATAAGAAATGTGAATGACTTTAAAAGCTAGAAAACTGTGTTTTTTTAAAAATAAATTACTAATTTAAAAACTGATGTTAAAAATAAACATGCTGGCCTGCACTTCTGATTACTCAGGATTAACCATATAAATGGAAAAATAAAATAAATCTTCACAAGAAGAATCTCACCCTCCCCACAAAAGTGCTTATTAGCTATGATTTAAATTGATACTAAAGTCTTTGATTTGAGAAGAAAAAGAGGCATTAGATTCAAAGAGGAGAATGAGCTCATTTATCCTATTCTCAAGATTCTTAAGAAACAAAAAATATATAGTAGCTTCAACTTATAAAATGTCTTTTAACAAAAAACTTCAGAGAAGTTACATATGTATAATTGCTTAAATTCTCACAACAGGTATAAAGTAGGAAAGCTGTTACTATTATTTTCAAATATAATGTCTCATTATAAAAAATGAAATGCAAATATGAAAGCTACTGAAAACAAGGGTCTGAATTAATTTTGATAGGCACTTAGTAGGAATAGAATCACAGTTGTTTAATAATTATTCACCTTACTAACTATAGAGTAAGAGGTTTTCTTAGGAATCCTTGGAAACTGTGGAGGACAGTGCTGTAAGAAAATCAGAGTTGGAGAGATAAGCAGCCTGGGAGCCCAAATGGGTCTATCACTCAAAAAGAAGATAAATCTTGACAGCAGATCAAGGACAGGACCTGTCTGAAAGGAGACGGCAGCTAGGTGCTAATTTTTATGGGGACAATGATAGAACTCACTTCGTTGTTGCACATAGTTGTTAGGTTCTTCCCCCACCCCCCCAACCTTACATAATAGCTGGCTCAAAAAAGGTGTTCAGGGCAGTTTTCTCAAGGTATTGTGCTTGTCACTCTGTTGGATCACAGAACATCTGAATAATAAAATGCGCCACAAAGATTCAACATTGTCTCTACTTATTTGACTCTGGTAGGGACAGGCAGCAGGACCTTGTCGTGTCCAGTTTCAATTCTACTATATCAATGTGATCATTGTTAGCATCTGAATGTACTTTAGGATTTTATTTTTAACTCTATTTGGCTGATGCAGAAGCTGAGGGACACCAAGTGATCTATCCTGTGGACACACAATGAAAACCTCCACTTCCAACAGTACTGCGCTTCCCAAGCAGGCAGCACAGGTAAGGACTACCAGGTGTCTACCACCCTCCAGATAGGTGCTGCCCTTAATCCTCTATTTTCTCTGGAAACAATAATGAATATGAAGAGAACACAAATTACATTTCTAGTCCA